CAAAATATCGCCATCGAAAAAATAAAGCGGTTCAAAAACTTCATAGTTTAAAATCATCGTCGTCGAAAATATCGTGGTAAAAAATAAAGTACCTACATATCATCGCAGGGCGATAACATCAAACAAGTGCGTTTTTCAGGTTTTAATCTGATTGATTTAATCAAAAATGCATTTACTTCATGATTTATCTAATTAAAACATTAAGTATTCGTGTAGAAATACATGAATACTTAATGTTAAAAGCTGTAAATGCATTTTCGCATAATAATTTGGGAGCGCAAGAAGGAAAGAGGGATATTTGATATTTTTACTTTTATATTTTTGAATGAACTAATAAATTTTTATGGAAACGTAAGAAGGAAACTTAAGCATTTAAAAACTGAATATGAGTAGAAAACTAATGCAACTTACAGAATTTAACAGAATGTTAAATTTACATAGTTAATTTACAAAGGTCATTAATAAATTAAAAATGAAGTTTTACTCACAATCATGAAACATGCAGCCTAAAAATGTTTAGAAAAAAGAAGATGTGTACGAGATGTTCCGTTAAGCGACGATTTGTAGCTGCTTTGTTTTTTTACCACGATATTTTTGACGACGATGTTTTCAAACTGCGAAGTTTTTGAACCGCTTTATTTTCTACGACGGTATTTTGTACCACGATCTTTTAGAACTGCGATGTTATCTCTTTGCTTTCTTTTTTCCCAAGATGTTTTGTACCACGACGTTTTCGCTTTGCATTGTTTTCTTCACGACGTTTTCGTGCGCGATGTTTTCGGCTGTAACCAAGGAGACATATCTTTTCAAGGGCAAGTTGCCCCAACTCTTCAATTACCTAATTGGTGTTTCGCTATCTATATAGGTAGGGGATAAGAAATACACAAAATCAAAAGGAGTGGTATGTTAATATGAGAATTTGAATAGTTAAGAAACATATATATATATATAATGTAAGAAAAAGTATATGTAAAAGATTAAATTAGCAGCGTAAATTAATTTTCCTTCTCATTCTAAAAATAGTAACCCCTCTCTGCACTGCGTCATTTCCAGAAAAATCCATGCCGTATGACTCTTACATAATTCTGATGATGTAAACGGAACTAAAACTCTTAACAGCCAATAATAATTTTACAGCAGTATTAACCATCGAATCAGAATGCTTTGAGAACCAAAACTAACTCAGTCTGACTTAGGATTTCTTTCTGAACATTACACACTTGCTTTCCACGCCTTGGCCTAGCTACACTGCCGTTTGTTTTCTCTGCTTTCTTGCTACAAAATTATCAAAAATGTAAGTCTTTTGGAACAGGCGCATTTAATGTGCCAACTTGTGTGTAGCCGCAACATGTTGCCGAAAATAAAACTGAAGATTTAATCTGCATTCGCCTCCAACTTTCCTATTCATGGTGGATCATCTCTTCTACGCATGAAAATTCCTCTTCCTGCTCTTCAGTTACTTCTGACTTTGTTTTTATCACATATATATTGAAGAATAAAATGACATTTAAAATTAACATAAACTTTGAATTCATTTCAGGATGATGAAAGATAGTGTCCAAATTTACCTTTTTTGCGGATCTTAATTCTGATATTACTGTGCATCATTAAGCATTATTAAGGAACTGGTTATATTAATTGTGTACTTTTAAGTATTTTTTACATTTTGCCTAAAAATGACATGGAATTCCCTAATTTCATTCTGGAAATCTATATTTTCTATTTCCGTGTAACTGAAGATAATAAACTCAATCATGGAACCATTTCTGAAAATGTCAGTATTACGGCTCCAGCGCCTTCAAATCTGTGATACTTAAACGTTCTCGGTTTTGGTGCCATGTCTGAGTTCCCTGTACTGCATGGCCTACAAGCACTACTCGACAGTCCTGATGTTGAAGATTGGGCAGCTGATTGGGCTTACTTGGTGAAATGCAAGGAGCCTGACGTAAACACCGTTATTTCCCCGATTACTAAGCAGAAGAACGCGTGTTTTGATTATTTTCTAGAACTGACGCCTCTACCTCTGCTTGGAACCAGCCAGAATCGTATTATTATTTCTATGACAAGACACGAAGCACTAATTTTATTGGTTAATTGACTATTTAAATTAGGGTAACTACTTTTTAATTTCTCACTTAGAATACAGAGCGACCCAGCTTTGAATCAGCGCAGTGAACTAAATAATAGTACTAGGAGTACTAAAATGAATAATAGTACTAAAAGAAAAATACATTCTAAAGCAAACTTTTAATTTAATTTCTCTTAACTTAGTAATGCAACGTAGTACCTATCTCAGAAATAACTATGTACGTGTTTATACTATTATTATCTTACTTTAAATTACCTTATCACTTCAATATAATCATACAGACTGTTAGACGACGTATCGTCTCGTCTGCCTACTAACTAAAGGTATCGCAATTCAAAGTAAAGTTTTAAAATAAAAGATATTTATTGGCACATCAGTTTGGTGGTTAAAGAAACACAGTAGGTGAAGAGTTTAAGAGAAAGGCAGTTCCGTTACTTTCGAGTTATTCAGAACACTTTTCCAATTTAAATTAAATGTTAAACATAAAACCAGAAAGCAGTATTAAACTCAGACTGTACCCTAAGTGTTTAAGAAACAAAACAAGCTTGTCGAAGTTTAAGCGAAGTTAAATTCAACATTGCCTTACACGCTATAAAATAAAATGGACTGGATGTTGGTAATACTCAAACACTGTTAAATTTCAAACTGTAAGTATGATTACAAAATCTGGCTTTAAATCGTCTAGATTTAAAACATTGCATTTCAAATGATGGCACGGTGTCTAAAGGTCTAAATGATACAGTATCCCGAGCGTAATAATGTATTTTAATTTGCGGAGCCTTATAAGAGTGTATGTCCTTTTGCAAACATAAATTGTAGACCCTACATAGAAGACAAAGTAGCGAATTCTCGTTATATCTTTGAAGAGCAGATACTTATAGAAGAAGGTTTAGGTAAGCTTTTTATTTGAACTAAAGCAACAACATGCACGCACTGGGCACTCACAATTGACCACAACGTTTGGCTAAACTCATTTGAACAACAAATAAAAAAATGTAAAATCACAATAAATTAAAATAGCTAACGACTGGCTCATTAGTTATATAAACCGTTAAATTGGCTGCATACAGCAAAGCCGCGCCTAGAATATCAATATAATTTGAAGGGTGTCTGACACCAACAAGAGAGCTAATTTCAAACACCGCAGTATAAACTCGGAACTAGTCTTCTTTACGAATTCTTGAAACTGCAGCTTAAATACTGCTTCTGAACATACTTAAATGTTGCATACTACGTCATTAAAATGTACATTCTGGCAAGAAACTGAAACCAGGATTGAAAGGAAAGCCGAACTAAAAATAATTGGTTAGAATAAAATAAGGTTTTTGCAACCTGTATAAAATCCAAGCAGCTTAGGTTAACCTTATATCCCGATTTACTTGAATTTGTACACACAAGCATATGCGGTCCTATGAATACCACATTCTCATTTGGCATTAAATATCTTATAATAATGATATTTATTTTATTTATTTATTACGTGCTCCGCCCTTAGGCACTACACGGAAAGGGAGTGATGCCCCGTGGAGGTCTTTTTAAGGGAAACTGGCTCGTATCCACGTTACATATGGGGAAAACCACGAAAACGCCCATGCAGCCAGCCCGTTCGCCGGGACTCGAACCCCGGAACGAACTACCAGTGTTCAGCGGCTTTTACCGCTCGGCCGCTCCGCTGGTGGGTCCTTATAATGATGATAGGTGACAAACTGAGAAGCAGCATTTAGTACGCTCGACGAAAAATTACAGAGAAACACATCAGTTTATTAAAATTAGGTAAAAAATAACATTAATTTAGTTTAGAACGCCAAATTAAGATTGCATTTTTTGCCCAATTTTAAAAAATAGGGAAAATTTTAAGTTAATATCATAAAAATTATTATATTGTGACGGAAAACATAAAGGGAGGAAGCATATTTTTTCGAATGAATAAATTTCTCTGCATATTGTTTATTTCATTAATATGCAAGAACATCTTTTTCATCTACGAAAACTTACAAGTATAGCAAGAATGTGCAAGTGTCTACAATAATGAAGTTCTGATACTTGTAGTTTGAAACTGATCAGGTTAATGCTTTAAAACTTTTATGGCTTTCATTTCTAGTTTTTAAATTCAGTTAGCCAGATTTTAAATTATGCTAAACTTCTCCTTTTCATCTCGACATTGTGTAGTAAAACGCATTGTTAGCCATTATTTAAGAAGACGCTGATGGAAAAGGTATGAGTAATGGTATAACAGACAGCAAGGAGCATCTCCCCCTCTATTTCCTGAAATCCGTATTTTACTTTCGCTGATGTCACTAGTGAATTGTGGCTGAAAAACAAACTTGATAACGCACTCATAGGAGCTACAGGTTTTTATTTACTTTTCGTAAGCACTGAAATTAAATATCGAGCTTCGATGCAAGATGCAAATTACAAAGGAAATTTAGGTTGTCATTCAGTTTCTAAATGTTCTACTATCTAAAAAAATTATAACTACTTTATAATTAAAGTACATGCTTAAATAGAAAAACTGAAACAACTCTCTGTGGACGAAGTAAAATACCAGAACAGGAAAGGTAACAAAAAAGCTTTACAATAAATTTCAGAATCCAGAAAATAAGCTTGCGAATTTAAATATAGCAAATTTATTACGATTTTTTTATTTTTACCGCAATTGAAATTACTGCTGAAAAACGAATAGAACAGTATCACATTTCTAATAATATTAGCACCAAAATAATATTTTGCTAAAAATCACTTTGTATCCAATCATTAAAATGTTTTCAACGAGCTTTTTTTTCTGTAATGATTTTTTAGTAAAGAAAACAAATTTTTATTCTTTTCAGTCTGGACTCGATCTTTTTAAAAATACTTGCTATAAGGCTACAATAATATTCTGAATGTTCATAGTTTATTGTGCATTACTTACCAAGAACGCCAAGCCTGTAGTTGATGGTGACTATAATGACGTTCCCATAGCTTGATAACACCCGACCGTCGTAAGGATTTCCGGCGTTCCATTCGTAGGATTCTCCATGAATGAAAACCATAACTGGTAATTTCAGCGGCTGTCTTCCCACTGCAAAGGAAATGAAATGAAACTTAATATTGAGAAAAGATGTATTATTAATATGTAACCACTAATACTTTAAGCAAATTATCATTTTCTTTGGAAACCATTTTTCGATATATCTTAAGAAGGTATTTTAAATCTGACTTCAATACGGCTTTTTAATGAATTTTTGTTTCATAGCCAAAAAAAGAACATTTAAAAATAATAGTTAAAAAACACCACAAAAATTTCTGAAATGTTTCAGATTTTAAATTACGTCCAAAGGAGCGTTTTCTCAATGTTTTGTGTGTTACCTTTATTTATTAAATATCATGTTCTTTGCACTTAAACAATAAAATTTAGTTCAATAAAATGAGCATTTCTTTAGAATTTCCGATACACAGTTCGACGCGCTGGAGATAAAAATGTTTCGTAAACTGTTGCCATTGCTCGCTTTTAAATCGCTGAGTTTGTTACTCAAAAATTCGTTAAAGTTTTACAAAATAAGAAATCGATAATAAAACCAATTCCAAATTTCAAATTTGGGCTTCCAGATTGCCCATATTGCCGGTCTAGGACGTACGTCATTCAAAATTTGATGGCTGTAGGTACGTTGTTTTATCACAATGCGAGAAATAGACATACATTTATGCAGATTTTTTCATTATTTAATTTCTTCAAATTTAATGCAGGACTCTAACATCTGGTGGTAACAGTTTGAAAAGTGAACCGACATTTATAGGAGTCCGACGCAAAGTGCCAAAACGAAAGTAATAGTCCTTCGGGACTCAAATCTCTTAGAACTAATAATTTAATTGTGCACTAATGAGTAAAAATTAAGCAACAAATTCATTTTTCAACTTGCATATATGAAATTGTTGAAAAGGGCTTTTAACGATCAGTGCAAAGAAAATGCATATGTAATATCAGCACCCTGACGTCAGAGCTCTCAAACGTTGCAAATTACTGAACTTTCATTGTCCACATAATTGTTGAAGTTAACTCGCATTTCAATCATCCTTTGTTGAAATTATAAGGTATTTCTCCCGCCTTCTTAGTATGCCTTCGTAGTGTAGTGGTCAGTAAGCTGAGGTCCAGAGGTATTCCAGAGGTCCGTGGTTTGATTTCCGGCGAGAGGGTTGCTCAGTTTTCACTTCTCCTGCTTTCAAATAATAATAATAATAATAATAATAATATAATGCCTCTACAGTTGCGCCCGAACTAAAAGAGTGGTGGATGATGATTTTCCACTCCCAGGATTTGGCGACTGGGTCCCCTTAACCCCAGCTGCCCTTTAAAAGGAGAGTATGTAAAGGTATTTCTCTCGCCTTCTTAGCATGTCTTCGTAGTGTAGTGGCGCACTATAGTGCACACTGGGCGCGTATTCCAGAGGTCCGTAATTCGATTCCAGGTGAAGGCGTTGATCATTTTTCACTTCTCCTGCTTCCAAAAAAATACCTAATGCCTCTACAAAATTAGTAACTGTAAACTTTTTACGTGCATACATGAATCTTGAAAGCATTAGTTATAGCCATATGCTAATACTACGTTAGGAAATCGTACTAAAATCAGCTAAGTAGTTATGATCTAAAATTATGTTAATACTTCTTCGTATATAATCTTTAGCTGTTTACATTACTTAAAGTACCCGTGCAAATAAGCGAAACATTTTAATCCACTGCATTAATTCTTTGATCTCAAACATCTTTATAAGAGGTGATAACACATTTTAAATGAATAATATTCATCTGAGAGAAATTGTCATATGTACTGTTGCTAAGGCTTACTTATAAGATATGTTAAATTACTTGGATCACTTTTGTCTACAATTTAAATATGATATGGATACTATTGAACATATTTTTTTATTACATCAGATAACTAATATTTCTACTAGTTGACTGATACAAATTTCTCGTGGAATTTTTATAGTTTCAAAGATATAGTAATGGCGAATATTTTTCTGCTTTAGAAAAAATAAAGCATTGCACTTTTCCTTTCTGTTCCATTGTTATATTCCCTAATGTATTATGATGATTTAGTACTTCTTATACAAATTCATTTAATAAAGATGTTCCATTAAATATTCACAGCTTTATTCTCTTTTAAAATCCATTTCATATTTAAAGTGCTGCTTTAAGTCCAACATGTTTTCAATAATTATGCATATTGCAACTTACCTTCGAATTTTTATGCATAAAAAACTTTAATTTATATAATGGAAATGAGAAAAAAAATATGCGAATTCTTTATTATATGCGACTGATATAGGCATTCCTCCTAGTGTCTTGTGTCGCATTAATGCAAGCTTGCGACTCTTTTATAGGAACACTTAATTGGATATTCTGCATAATAAGATGAAATATTTCTTTCACTTACTATATATAATATCCTACACAGCTTAATTAAAGGAAGGGAAAAAATTTATGATTTCATATCAAATGCATATGGATACATACTGGTAACAATGCACATTGTTACGAATTTTATACATATGTACATAATTTAAGTGAAATTATGTTTGAAATGTAATATGATATGCCTGAAGAAGGTGCAGCTCCTCTGAAAAATAACACTACAGGGGCAGATCCATTTAACATTAAAGCCAAGCTGGTGATGGTTTTCGCGACTAATTTTTGCTGCTAAATTTGTCGAAAAATCGGCAAAAGAAGCCACCAAACTTGGCGAAGTGTTTTCTCCCTGTCTCTGTATAATTGCAATTCGTACTCTAACTAAATAACTTTAATTGATCCTTATATGTAACTGAAACCGAACAAATGGTGATGCAAAGCTGTCAACGGCCTGGAAAAAATTGTGTATGACCGAAAGAGCATCAGATATAAGTTTTTAGCTTGGACTATTAAGAGCTCTGCGTGTAAGCTTCGCTCTTGAGATGCGCTTTGAATTGCGTTGTGTTTAATATTCTTTATATTTTGAAGTGGTAACTAATGATTGTGCTCTGTTATACTTAGAAGAGCTGTACAAATACTTTTGTGGATAGTCTCAGAAGTGTAAAGGCCTTTTTTGGGGTAAAAAATTTTCGGTTCCGAGCGCATTCAATCGATTATGAACCCGTTAGCATGCAGTATTATTCTTTCATTAAATTTGAAATATTATCGTTTACGTTTGTGCTGCCAATTCTCAAAAATGTAACAAAAGCTGATTATTTCCTAAACAACACGTTTCCCATCTAGAACTCTTACAACTCGTTCAGAGAGCCGCAGTTAAATAATATTTCCTTACCTGCCGTAATAAATTTACAAGTATCTGGCTTAAAAATGTTTAAAGAAAAGAGGAAAAGGAAGGAATTAAATATAGCACACCGATCATTCTTGCTTAATATTTGTTTCTCTAAATTAGTTTCTGTTTGTATAAAATGTTTGTTTAACAAATCACTTGTCAGATCTATGATTATGACATAAATCTATTTAAAAAATATAAAAGGTACGCCTGAAAACATTACTTTTTTAACATTTCATAGCCGATAAATATAAATAGACCCTGCACTAGATAATGTCCCTCCTTTCTTCATTATTGTCTACTCGTAAATATGTCAGCGTAGTAAAGCTATAATTTGCGGGAAGAAGATATATCTACATTGTTAAGAGATAAAACACAGTATACGTCTACAGCTAAGAGACGAAAGATTAAATTTCAGAAATTTATTTCAGAAATTACTAAACGCAACTACTATAAGAAAGTTCTCGAAAACTGAATTTAAATTAGCCTGTTCAAACTAGCCTAAATTTAAATCTTACTTGCTTATATTTCTCAGATGGTACGAGAATATATTCTTTCGTACCTAGATACAGCAACAATTGGCCTCAAAGACTGTTAACAAGGAATATTCTTTCTGATTTCTTATTAGGATAAAAGATGGTACATTTGTGCTATTGCAGAAATACTAAGACAATGGGTACAACAGCCTTATTTTGATGTAGAGCTAGTAATAGACTACATAACAAAACTTACCTCTTATATAAGTCTAAACGAACCAAGTGGAGTTCAAGAATGAAAATTTATAGCATTGGCCATATAACACTTGTCCTGCACGAATACTGAATGAAAAAAAAAAGGATTTGATTTATGAGACTTTCTTTCCTGTCTTATGTCGGCTAGTCATCTGCCGTCGCAACCAAACTGAATGAATCATTAAGGTAAATTTTCAATCACCGTGAAAATGCTGACACACTTAAATTTTTTGGCATCAGCGATTTTAATTTCATATGATAAGATTTCCAATGTGCAGCATAAAAAATAGTTTTGCCAGAATTGTTGGCTTTAGTGGTTCGGTTTCATTCCCATGGAAAATTGTTTCTCTGTAAAAGCTTGCGGAGCCACATATTTCACTATTTGCCACTCATTGGTTTCACGAAAAAGTACCTCAAATTCTGAACTCTCCACCGGAAGCTGATGTCAGTTCCATCGAAAATCAGTGGCTGTTCATCAAGAATACGGTGCGACAGCAGAATGCAATGGGAAATGATTTGAGAGCTATTATCAAAGATTTGTGAACCAGACTACCAAAAAAATTTGACTGCTGGAACAGGAATGCGTTATTATTGTAATTTTTTCCATGTTAACTGAGAAGAATAAAGCCGACTTATGCATATAGATAACTGTTACGGTACGTTTACTGTACCCTTTCTTGAACCATATCGTTAAGTAAATTATTTTTGATTATTCAGTAAGCTTTCTTATAATCTTGAACAGTCTTCTTTTCCTAGCGTTAAAAACAACCATACACCGGTGTGGTGTTGCTGGCCTTGATCGTATAAAGTGTCGATACTAAGAATATCAAGTACAAATTAATTTTGCGTAAATACTTAAACTAAAATTTGGTGTTTAGTACATTGCTTAATCATTACTAAATAGATTAACAAGACTTACCCACTGATGCATGCATGAGCCGATTATTTTCTTTTTCCAATCACATATTTATTTCAATACACATACTTTCTGGATTAAATAAGACATATTTATCACACACATATACATACTAAAATATCATAACTTAGATACTCGCA